TACGGAACGGATCAACTTTCAGAAATGCTTGTTGTCGACTGTCGTTGCGACTCTTAAAAAAATGCTTGACGTTGAGCAACCAGTGTATATTAAAAACATACGTATGCGACAGTGGTTTGCTTGGCAGTGGACGTGGATAATGCATTTAATTACAAAGCTAATAATATTGCTCGGTTCGCAAAAGAATGCAATTCTTGTTTTTCAAAATCAAACAAATTTTTTTTAGAAAAGGAATAAGTTAATATCCCAGCTTCTGCATCGATTAATGCATATAGATATTTCTTATTACAAACACAAGCAATGTGGTTTACGCAATCTCAAAAACAAAGTTTTGAGTCAAAGAGGATAAAAGAAAATTTTCCAAAATCGACATCTAAAAAGCAATTCTATTGTTAAATCTCCAACCGTGTCTTGTAAACACCTCCATTGCGGTTGTCTCAATATTCCTTCATCCCATCTTCATCATTTGGTGATCATCCTCCTTCTGTAATAGGGACCAAAATCTGATCCAAAGTAGGTCCCCTAAAGATAACCTGCAAATAAGATGGTGCTAGGATCTTGTCAAAAACTATTTCATATCGGGTTAACCATATCGTCCAACAAATCGCACTTGCACCCACAAGAATATTAGATTTAGTTTCCTATTTATCCTATCTAACCGGCCTGTAAACAAATTGTGTACGCTAGTTGGAGGTGTTAAATTAAAGGAAACATGAATAGTTCACCATAGGAATTTAGCAAAATGACAGTCAAAGAGTAGATGTTGTATAGACTCATCAGAAGAACAGAAACAACACTTCCTATCTCCTTGCCATTGTCGTCTTGCTAAATTATCTTTTGTTAAGATTACTCTCTTATACAAATACCACAAAAATACCTTGATTTTGAGAGGTAGTTTCAGTCTCCATATTAATGTGTTATATGGTATAGCTTTGGCTCCTAATAAGGCTCTGTACATGGATTCGACTAAAAATAATCCATTCTGATGTAGCCCCCACACAAAGCGATCCCTCTGGTCTGTTAACTGCACATCTACAATCATAGCAACCACCTCGTGCCACGCTTGTAAATTAGCACCTACCAGAGATCTCCTGAAAGACACATTTAACGGTATCATAGACAACACCGTTCTTACATATGCGCCTTTTCTCCTAACAATATTATATAATGCGGGAAAGAGAGATTTTAATGGACGAGGTCTTATCCACGAGTCCTCCCAAAATCGCACTTGAGACCCATCAATTAGATCAAACTTGCCCAATGAGACGAACTCCCCATTGACCTTCATGAGGCCAGCCCAAAACTAGGAGTCCCCGGGCATGTATTAAACATGTGTCAGAGTCTTGTCTTTTAGATATTTATTCCTAAGTAATTGTTGCCAAACCCCATCTCCATTCAGCAACCTAAAAAGCCATTTGCTTATGAGACACTTGTTATGAACATCTAAATTTAGGACTCCCAAACCCCTTGATCTTTCGGCATACATACTACCTCCCACTTAGTCAATCTATATTTTTTCTTGTGTTCATCGCTCTACCAAAAAAACCATGACATAAAATAGTCCAGCTTTTAACACCAACCGGGACCCTTTAGGTATTCAAAGGAAAATCACAAAAAGCAAAGACCATGAGGGGGGTCTTGGGTTCAAATCTCAAAACAGCATTAGTTAAGACCTTTAGGACAAGTCTCCCTCCTACTAACAACATCTTACTTCTCCAACAATTTCCCCACCTCATTTTTTGAAAACGATTTTTCATACATGTTTCCGGTCCTTATTCATGAGCTTTCTATGATGCAGACCCCTTTAGGAGGAAGAAAGCATGACCATGGGGATACCTAAACAGAGTTAAGTAGGACAACGACCCTAACAAATCACACCCAAAATTTTTTTTGTGCATAATCCTTTTGATTGACTTTTTGATGCTAGGAATTCCAGATACCTAAAAACATTTCACTCTTATGAAAATTGATCTTGAGTCCTGATAGCTGCTCAAAAGCACAATGTAAAAGTTTCATGTTTTTGGCCCTCTCTAGATCATTATCCATAAAGATGATAGTGTCATCTGCATATTGAAGGATTGAAAGTCCCTCATCTACCAAATGTGGAACAACCCATTGGATTTGTTCAACCTCTTTAGCTCGTGAAATAAGGATAGTCAGCATGTAAACCACTATATTAAACATGATTGGAGATAACGGATCCCCTGCCGCACTCCTTTCCTAGTTTGAAAATAATGGCCTACATTATCATTGATCTTTACTGCAACATTCCCTCTAGACATGATTTTTGAAACTTTGACTAAATTTATATAAGAAATTACTAACATTCATGATACAAATAAGTATCATTAGATTAGTTATAGAATATATTTTTATAAATAAATTTATTTAAATACATAAATGATAATACCATTAGATCCAAGCATGGGAATTAAAGAGGTGTGGTGCATAGAAAACGAGAAGAAGAGATAAAGATGCGCATTCAAAAGTGAGAAAACTTCTCTACATTATTGCAGCGATATCTTGGAAAAAGATTCTATACTTTTGCATTATTTTTGCATGAGGTCCGGGCACACATCAGTTGGAGTCCGAATGATCTAATTAATTAAATTAAATAGACGATATAGGAACATTTTCCATCTCCTGCAAGCAAAGAGGGCGTATAACTCAATGTTTAAAGCCATTTCTTAAAAATGTGGGTCCTCGATATCACTCATTTTGAATGAGGGACTTCGCGAGCATAGGCCTAGCGCCGGATGTTTGATGGGGCGAGGCGATAGCGTGGCGCTAGATGGTGAAGCGCGCAGCCGGAACGAGAGAAAAGCGCAAAGCGGGAAGGGGCTCAGCTGCTCAGCGCGAGCAGCGCTTCATGATGGGAGGGGCGGGAAGAGTCGTGCCCCTGCTATGGGACATTGTCCGCACCGCCTGGGACGTCTCCCAAACCGCCCCGGACATCGCCCGTGTTGCCCAGGACGTCCCCCACGCCGCCACGGATGTCGTCCATGCCGCCGGGCGCTTCCCATGCTTATCACATGTGCAACACCTCGATTTACTTTTAAAACATCCAGATGCAACAGTTACAACATACAAAACAAGATAGATGAAACATTCGAAACAAGCATCTGAAACACTTGTGAAAGCACCTAAAAACATTTGAAAACTATTACAAACATATGCAATATCCAGATGAAACATTTGCAAACATACGTATGAAACACCTAAAAACACTGGAAACATATGCTTGCAACATGCATGTATATGCAACATTTATCCTGGAACAGATGAAACATTTGGAACATACATTTAAAACGTACGTGTATACCCATTACAGCATGTGCAGCATCCCGATCTACTTTTGCAACATCCGTATGAAACACTTGAAACTTACATCTGAAACAACTAAAACATTTGAAACATACGCTTGCAACATGTCTGAAAACGCCTAAAAACTTGAAAACACAGCATTGCCAGTGGCCACGGCCTGCCTGGTGGGGAATTGCGGGTGCAGGCCTCCCCTTCCTGCCGACGACGCAAGGTGGATGGGAGCACATGCGTTTCGATAAGCGAGCATAGGCCTCGCAAACACAGTGCATGCCTCTCCGCGTTTTCACTTTAACTTCTTCCTTGCGATGGGCACAAGAATTTGCATCCGCGAGGTGGATGGTAGTATGACGCTAGATGGCAAACACCACCTCCTTTGTAAATGTGCCAACACCGCAAATGTACACCACCATGTGTATGTGTGTTAGCATTTTCACAATCATTTTCCCAAAGGGGCCGGTGCCTAGCGACGGAGTTAGATCAAAGTGGGAAGGGCCGCCACGCTGGAGAGACATCGGAGCCGGTCATAAACTTCATGATGGGGAGGAGCTAGGGGAGAGACATTCCATTCCCTCCTGCGGGACCTTGCACCAACGCGGCAATGATATGATCCACTTCATATCATCACGTGATCGTTCATCGATCTTGACTTCAAGGCCATCGTCCATCGGGCACCAAGTCTTGTGAGGGGCATTCAAAGGGCAGCTAAGGAGGACACCACATGACTCAATGTCGTCTCAGTGGGAAATCATCATTTTCTTTTTTAGATTCAATGGGCTAGTCCGCCGATAAGAGAGTCATAAGACAATTAGTCCACCGCAATTACCAAAACCAACCAGGGACGAGCGCGAGACAGACGGGCGTGGTTGGCGTTTTCGATTTGACAACTTCGAAAATCGTACTCACTCAGATATATCATCGTTGAATTTAACTCACTTTTCAAATGGCGGTTAGAGGTCCCGCTCATAATAAAATAAAAGCAAATTTGAAGTTCATTCATTTCCTAGTCCGATCAGATTTGATTAGCAAAACATATTCAAGACTTACTTGGTAGTCTGCAGGCTTTATTTCATCATTCCACCCTCAAAACAACCGGCCAAACACATTTGTCGGCTCAAATCTGTTCTGTCGTTGAAAAAGACGTTAAAACGTCATGTCCTACAAAGAAGCTAAATTCTTTTTGCACCTTTAACTTATTAACAAAGCATCGCTTCAATTATTAGTTTTATTTGAAATTACTTTGTATTAATACTATTTTAGTGATTATTGAAAAATGATACTGCCATACATAATGAGAAGTGACACCACTATCTCACTTCAGCAGCAGGAGTGAAGCTCAAGTCCGGCTTCCTGCTGCTCTCTCTCTCTCTCTCTCTCTAATAGCTAGCATTGCTTTTTCCGCTCAATAGGCCACCAGCAGGCAGCAGCCTTGCCTCTCGTCTGCCTCCTCCTTTCTTCGTCCACGGTCCACGCGGTCCATCGCACCTCCCTCTCTCCTCCGAGGCGGCTTCCGGGTGCATGCTGGCCGCTCTTCGCTCCTCTCTACTCCTCACCGGCCAGTCACCACAACGCGGGTAGGTACTTCTGGCACCTTTCTGATTTACTCACCGCGTTGCTACTTCTCTCAACTTCTGATTTCGTTCTCCATGGTTTCTTCCCGGACAGATCGGGCGTTTCGGATGGAGCAGCAGGCGATCTACGGCTTTCTCGGCGAACTACAGGTAACGGGGGTTCGATCTGCAGCTCAGTTCGTTTCTTATCCCAGAGCAGCAGTATGTCTCAAACTCTGAAGTACACGAAATCAGGGTCCAGATAGAATCCTTTCAGTTGGGCTCCTGCAGTCCAATATATAATAAGATCCATCTGCTGTGATAATAGTTCATCTATCCTGGTAGATCAACCTCCAATTCGTGAGAACAGCCATCTTCTCCTTACAGACGGAGAATTACCGAGCCCGCGACGAGGATGTTGACGTGTGGATCCTACAACTTCTGGAAGGGCCCCAAGATGCGGCAAACCAAAATGATTGCTTATCAGGTATATACTCCTATGTACAATGTTTAGCTGTTACTGTCTATTCCCAAGGTTCCCGGCCTACAAAAATGCCATTAATATGGCATTATCTATGGCTTGTAACAACATTTAATTTATAGAGCTTCTCCTGTGCAGATGATTTGCCTCCTCCCTCTCCATTGCCAGACGCAAATGGCCATCATCAGGTATGCGGTTATGGAATTCACCAAATAGACACTGAGATGCTTAACTTTAACAACCTGGTAGATTTTTGCACAAGTAAATAAACTTTTAAACATGTTGGTACTCCTTGATAAAGGGGACGAGATAAGGTATTGATGGTCTATTAATTTCTTCATGGCAGACAGAACCTAGGAAGACTGGCCCAAGAGGAACTCGGAAGAGAAGGACGTCTCCATGGGTAGGCACAAGTTTAATTATGAGAAAATAAATCCCTTATATGATATTGAAATTTATACTTATCCTTTGCGTGTCATTGAAAATTTACTGTGCTTTCCTTCGTTGCCACTCTTAGATTTTTTTTTTCCATCTCCTATATGCCATGCATTTTTAGCGGATTCCATTAGTCTCTGTCACAGTTAGCAGTTGCAAAAAATTACCAAACTCCCCTAGCGGGCTAGCCTAGCCCTAGCCTAGTTTACTTGTCCAGTTCCAGCATTGAGGTGGTTTCTGTTTCAGCAAGGCAACGTGCCGTGGCCCCGGCGAGCGTCCCGCTGCCATGATGATCGATTGCGACTGCTAACTGGGACAGAGCACATCAGATCGGAGCGAGGCTCTCCGCCTTCTGCCTCTGCCTGGCTGCCAGTCTGCCACACGGCGCTGCATCTTGCGCGCCTTCCTTCCGGTCCATCGTTGCGGGTCGGATGTGGCGAACTGGCGATGTCGCCCCTCGCCCGGGATGGCCACCGGCGGGCGGGACCGCGCGCGCCCATGGACACGTTGGTGCCCAAGTTCCCGGCCGGCATCGCTTCAGAGCAGCGGAGAGGTCGTCCCCACAGGCCACAGACTAGCGCCACGCCACGTACCGGCCACCAGATGTGTATAGGATTTGGGGAAGAAACATGGCTGGCTCCGCTTGGTCAGATGAGACCGAGAGAGAGCCTGCATGGCACAAAGGGATCCGGTGCGGGCTGTGCACAAGGCCATTATTGTCTTTTTTCATTCCTAAAAATAAGGACATTATTGTCTTTTCACGTCACAGTTAAGCTTTGTTTGGATGCATATGGATTGAAACAAATGTATGCGCATCCAAATAAGGTCACAAGAGGCTCCACAGACGTGGATGTAAAATTTAAACTGATGGCATTTTAGCCAACTTATATAGTTTTTATCCTATACGGCTGTGATTATTAATTTCTAGAATCACCTGTCTTTTTGGGAAGAAGGGAGTAGAAGAGATGGGTATAAGTTTTGATGGCAAACAAGAGATTTTGTTTCTTAATTATCCTATCACCCTATCAGGGGAGAGAATTGAAATGACTACTTTTTGGTTGTTTGACAGAATCCGATGTTCTACACAAGTAGGAAAAACAATAGCCGGTGGACTGCTAAAGAAGTAGAGAGGCTGGTACAAGGTGTCTCTAAATTTGGTGTTGGACGATGGACCATGTTGAAGCAGAATTTTTTCAAAAGGTCAATCAGGACAGCAGTGAATCTTAAGGTGAAGTAGATTAATGACACATTGCACAATGAAGTAAATTCATTGTGAGATGCTATTGATTAATATCATACTCTTACGTTGTTTCATGGCTCAGGACAAGTGGAGAAATCTCTTGAAAGCTTACCAGGTCAGAATTCCATCTAATAGAAAGTGTTGTTTTTCTAACCTTCTAATACTAACTGCTGCTAAGTACATTACTTGAATTCAATTCAGGAAGGTTCACAAAAAACTACACAGTTGCATCTTGAGCCATCGTTGGTTGAACGGATCAGGAAGCTGGCAGATAAAAGGCACATATAGGAACGACGACTTGGTCATTGTATAGGCTCTAGCATGGAGAGTAGTTCGGCTTATCTAAAAGGGATGGGAACTGTAGAAAGCTGGTTATTAATGAAATAGAGGGAGGGTTTTGTCCATCTATGTTCATTGCTCTCTGTAAGACTACTTCATGGTTCAAAGGAAACTTAGATTGTCCCATGACCACATACATTCACTTTGAAGTGTGTCTTTAGTATTCGCATTCGTCCTTTTTGTGCCATACTCAATTTGTCTTGCACCCCGGCCCAATTTCTCCATGCACTGCACCTTTCGTCTCCTAGCTCCCTCCTCCGACTCAGCTAGCGTGTGGGCAGGCTGTGGACTACTGGCCGGCACCGTACGTCGTCAACATGCATGCATGCATGTGCATCGCGCGCCGCGCGCGCTCGCGTGATGACTGATCGCTACGGGACGGGACGGGACCCTGCTGGCTGCCTGGCTGCATGCATGATGCGTTGTAGTTTTCGTAATTGTTCTCGAGATGAAATTAAATGGGATGGATCGGAGCCAAGGAAACTTCGCGCAAGCCGGCGTAGTAACCATTTTGGCAAAACACGCTATGTGACTTTGCCCTAGCAGGCTGCCAAATGTGTGAAATGTCACTCTCAGGCATCATGCATCATCATCTCCACTCTACTTTCACAGATTCCCGCGCGTATATATCACACCAAAGCCAAATTACCAAAGTGCACAAAATCTCAACCTTTCACAGATCACAGATACACTAGACTAGTTCCAACCCCAACATGCAAGCGACAGTACGCGATGGCGCAATCTGCATTAGATCCTGATGAAAGAGACTTTATTACTTTGCCGCATCAAACCAAATCAAATCAGATCATCAGATAAAAACTGCTCAGAAATACGTATATATCACAATGCTAGAGGCCAGGGCTACTCCTAACAAGTACTCCTAGCTACTCCAACTAGTAAGTAGGCACTGGTGGAGAGCACTGCCCCTGTCGAACCGAACACATGTCACTTCCATCCCGATCGATAAGCCGCAGACGACGTGAAGACTGAAGAGCAGTGTGGGTCTCCTGTCAAGAAAACACTTTGATGATCGACCTTGCTCAAGACGACATACTACACCACATGAGCATCTAGCAAGGCATCTAGGAGTAGCACAAGACAATTAAAAGGGTTCGGCACTCAACATGGCTTGCGTGCTCTTCGATATGATTGGATCTTCCAAGTTGAGCGTCTCCAAAAGATTAGCTAAATTGTTTTTTAAAAGTGAATATAGCTATTATTAAAGAAAAATATCTTCAACAGACTCTGTAAATGACTCTCCAAATTTAGTAGTCCTTCATCACACCTCATTCGCTCTCTACTTTTAGATAGCTGTCACACCCGATTTTAAGGATAAAATGGGATACAAAATCTTATGTGCGCCTAGAGATCAGTCACACACATAAGTCGACAAATTATTGATAGTACCATCACAAGTGTTTATTACATCATGAAATAATAAGTCATAGTCTTCACATAAATGTAGCGGAAGTATAAAGAAGAAAATCTCTCGCGAAAGCTTCATATCACCGGGACGTCAACTGGTTGACCATAAGTCTAGTAATTCTCAGAAAAATCGTCATTACCATAGCCATCTGTTACCCATCTGGGATTTTTATCTAAATAATGAAAATAAATATGCGTAAGTACGTGTCGTACTCAACAAGTGTAATATGGGGCTTATGAGGCTCAAAAGGCTTGACACAGGTTTAACAGCATTCAACTTTTAATTGTCAAAAATTTAGTATAAGAGTAGCAACAAGTTGTTTTAATTTCCGAAGTAAAACACATGATCAATGTAAATATGAATAATGAAATGGATAATTCTTAGTGATCATCTATTCCGTAAATATTCCAAGGCCGCTCGTGACCGTGAGCACGGCTGTTATAACAGTTTTACACTCTGCAGAGGTTGTACACTATCACTATGAGTCGTGATTTACCCTTTCGCCCAAGGTGATCAGCCTCTTGACCCACAACCTAGGAAGGTCGGTAGGGTTCACTATGAAGCCTTTTAAAGGTTCGTCTAACAAGTTAGGGCCATTAAATTTCCCCATCAATAAAAATGAACTCCCCTCCAACGAGTGACTGAAGAAACCAAAATGCACTCAACCTGCCAGGCAAAGGTCATACCTGTCGGAGCCCCTCTTACGCCATAAAGGTAACCACTAACAAGCTAGAAAAGGTCCTCATACTTGACTAAAGCCAGAGCCATATGACCCTCACAGTTGTACTGTAAGTCCCGGATGATCACTTACAGATAAGTCCTTAGGAAGAGGAATCGAGAGCACCATAAAATAGCCCAATGCTCTAACCCCCTGATTCCATGTTGCTAAAAAGCATCTTTTAATGTTTATTGCATATTCCATTAGTCAAGTTATAAGATCATGGTTGTAGTTGAGCACTAACATCATACTACCCAATGCAATAATCCAACTAGGAAATCATTAATGGTAGTCAAGGTAGACACATGCGGTATGAATTAAATGATTAAAGGTATATAGGTCAACAAGGATAATCTCATGCTATACTTTCCTTGAACAAAGTGCTCCTGCTATTTCTGCTCGTCAAAGTAGTACTCTTGATCACCCACGAATTGCTCACTGTCTATACTCGATAACCATAGCAACATAAAAGCATCCAGAAGCAATCATGCAAAGCAAACAAAGGCTATAGATTAGAACAGTACACCAACAGCATAAAAATTAAGATGAAAAGTTTGTAAAATGAATCTACGTCTCCCTATGAACACACAGACGCGAAGATCATAAAAATCGGAGCTAAAACGAAAAAGTTATGAATTAAATAAGATTTCCTTTAGTAAAATAATAGACTAAATCTAACCTCAAATTTTAAAAGTTGAAAACATGCTTAACAGTAGTATGAACATGTAGATTACTCAATTACGAACCTAACGCAAATTGAACGGACCAAATCGGAGTTAAAATAAAGATTTTATGGCTAAAACAAGATTAGTGGTAAAACTATAAATAAATGAAAACGCATTTTGAATCTAATCCGAAAGAAACTACGTTTTCAAAAGACGAAAACGTATTTTCTGAATACACTTTGGACTACGGGTTCGATAATCAAAAACTTGAAGGGTTCTTTAGAAAATAAGCCAGGCGAAGGGGTACGGGTGAATCTGGACCGTTGGATTGAATCTAGACGACTCAGATTAGACGGGAGGGAAAGAGAGCGCGGTCGGTGGAGAAGAAGGTCGACGCGACGACTTCCATGAACGGCGGCGACGAAGTTCGTCGGCGAACCGGTTTAGGCCCTACGGACCACCGTAGAGCAAAGCGAGGGCACAGGGAGAGAGAGAGGAGATGACAACGAACTCACCTAGATGGAATACCAAGGCGGGGACCGACGACGACGCGCAGCGGCTGCGCAGAACCGACGGCGGTGGCGGAGCTTATGGTTGCGGCTCGGAGCGAGGGCGACGCTGGCTCTAGGCTTAGATAAGAGTGCGGTGCAGCTCGGGGCGGCTATTTATGAGGGCGGGGAGCCTTGGCGCGCACGGCAAAGGAGGCATGGCAGCCGCGGACTTCTGGCAGCGGCGGAGTCCGGAGCGGAAACGAATCGGAGGAAGGAGAAGACGGCTGACAGCTGGGGCCCGGCTGACAGCGGCACACGGCGCGGGCGTGGCTCGACAGGGCCGGCCTGCTGGGCTGCTGCGGAGAGAGATGAGGGCCTGCAGGAAAAGAAGGCCGAGTGAAAGCTGGGCTACTCAGGCCGAAATCAAGAGAAGGAGAGAGAAAAAAATAAAACTCCTTTTCTATTTTCTTCACACATCTTCAAATCCAATTTAAACTAAAATTCAAATTCTTTTGCAAATTTCAATCAAACCAAAGCATCACAAATAAAATATGCAGCAACATGTATGCACATACATGTATGTAGACCTATATTTGATTTTATTTTTGACAAAGTTATTATTTTCCTAAATTTAAATGCTCACAAAATGCATAATTAAATTATTTTCTCCTATTTTAAAATCATGCAAATTTTAGCTTGTTACAATAGCCTACCTCGCTAGCTATCCAGTCTCTTGGTTTTACACGGTCTGTTGGAGTATCTAGTATCTTTTTTATCAAATCTATTTTTAACAGTAGCTAAATCAATAAATTTGACGAATCTCTTTAGCTAATCTCTTGGCTTGTCTTTTTGAGAGCAGGTCTCAAAGGTTGAGGGCTAGTTAGTGCCTATTTTGACTAGCGCAAAAGTTAAAGAGGATACATCACGAAGGTCATGTTCGTTTCTCTTATAATCCGTAGTTTTCAGCTTGTTTTTTCAGCTAGAATAGTGTTTTTCTCTCAAAACAAATCAGCTGGAACAGTGTTTCGGCTTTTTTTTCAGCGAAACGAATCGGCCAAAATTATATTAAAGCAAAGCATGAGAAAGTAACTCACATCACATGCAGATGCTAATAAAAAAAGGGAAAATAATTACTTTGGGTTCTAACCATGGAACGCACAAAATCTTATACTCCCTAACTTGAGAACGGGTAAACGTATTAGATTATTAGAGGAAATAGTAAAAGTCAGTTGCGGTCTTTATACATGCCACGCGGTGTTTTCCAGACCTCAAAATCTATTTTTTTTCATTTCTTGCTCTCAGTCTCATCATTGGTCCAAATGGGTTGTTAAACTCTACATATGAAGAAAAGATCCTTGACATCATGTACGTTGATTATTAGCCTCTGAGCATATGATATGATTATGACAGATCGGATCAATGTTGTTTTAATTATTCTTACCGAGGAGTAAGTTGTATCACGTGAGTGCAAGATTGGCTGATTGCGATTTGCATAGGTTCTCGATCGGTACGTAGCGGCAGGCATGCTTTCGATTGGACCACACTTTTTATCTGCTGGTAGTTTTGGTCAGTTAGATTGGATTTGATCGTGTCACATCAAGAACTCAAAGTGTGATGGTGACATATATATTCCATGGATGATGGCATGA